GAGAGAGAGAGAGAGAGAAGGGTGGCAGGAGGAGAGAAGGGGCAGGAGTGGGAGAAAAAGAGGAAAGTGGCAGGGGGAGGGAATAGTCAGGTCCCTTAGTGCAAAATATGGGCCGAATCGTTACGGGAGTGACAAAAGTCTCAAACTTGGCACAGTTGTAGCTTATGGCAGTACTATAATTATTAGAGGGGGTGCCCAATGCAGATATTCCTTAGAAGTGAATTACCGATGATTAAATGTCCGAACCACCCGACTCCGAACCCCCCTACCGCGCCCGCCTGTATACAATGCCAATACATGTACTAACCTGTATAATACAGTCGTTATGTTCCGCACGGCTACGCTAACACCTGTAAGCGAGCGCCGCGCCAGCAGTTCGCGAGCCTCGTTATCGATCGACCGAAAACGGTGTTTGACTTATGGCGGGGAATCTGATTAGCGGCGAGCAATCGAGTGTACAGATGTAAATACGGCAAAACTTCGCCCCAGGCGAATACCTGATGAATGGGAAAAATCTAGTGAATGGCTTTGGCAGAATTAATATAAGCGTACACTAATTGCAGTTATATAAATTTAACTTGAATAACTTGAGAAATGACGTCAGGCAAAAGCCTGCTCGCTGATTGGACGACCTAATCACAGTCGCTGCAACCTGCTCACTCATTGGCCGGTCTGGCTCAGTCAGCAGCCACCCACTTTCATATAGTAAGGGGTTAACGCTCTGGTGAGTAGGCCCTCTAGCGGCCGTTACGATCAGGAGCGGTAATCATTAACGTTAATACATGTACCAGCTGTACAATGCGCCAGTAGGCCTACACACAGTACAGGCGGGCGCGGTAGGGGGGTTCGGAGTCGTGTGGTTCGAACATTTAATCATCTGTAATTCACTTCCGCGCGCATATATTTGCTAATATATATTGACTAATTGTGCGTCAATAAACTCGATATTCACAGAGACCATAGCTAAGACGTGTTTATATGTATCCTACGGGCCATATAGCCGCGCGTATATATTATCCTATGACGATACCGTGCGTATATTTTTGGTAATTAATTAAAGACTCACAATGCGCATCCAAACGCTAATTTCTTCAGTACTATCCTAGCAAATACTTCGTGGCATGCATAATCACACTACCTTATGACAAAATAAACTCTAGTTCCCCCCATTTCACTGCGCGTT